GAGTCTCAGGGTGGAGCTCAGGAGGCTCCAGGGTGGGCTCAGGGTGAGCTCAGGAGGCTCAGGGGGCTCAGGAGGCTCAGGGGTGGGCTCAGGGTGAGCTCAGGGTGGGCTCAGGGTGGGCTCAGGGGGGCTCAGGGGGGGCTCAGGGTGGGGTCAGGGGGATTCAGGGGGGCTCAGGGTGAGCTCCAGGAGGCTCAGAGGTGGAGCTCAGGGTGGGCTCAGGATGGGGTTCAGGGGGGCTCAGGGTGGGGGTCAGGGGGTTCAGGGTGGGGCTCAGGGGGCTCAGGATGGGGTTCAGGGGAGTTCAGGGGGGCTCAGGATGGGCTCAGGGTGAGCTCAGAGGGCTCAGGGGGGCTCAGGGTGGAGGCTCAGGGTGGGGTCAGGGGGTCCAGAGTGGGGGTCAGGGGGCTCAGGATGGGGTTCAGGAGGGTTCAGGGGGCTCAGGGTGAGGTCAGGGTGGGTTCAGGAGCTCCAGGGTGGGCTCAGGAGCTCAGGGGGGCTCAGGGTGGGCTCGGGTGGGCTCAGGGGCTCAGGGGGCTCAGGGTGGGGTCTCATCCCAGTGTCCCCCAGCTGTGCATGAGCAAGAGAGTGCACGGCTCCCAGCAGTCCTGGACCTCAAGAGCCTCCGCCTCGACCCAGGTGAGCCTTAGGGGGCTTTGGGGGAGCTTTGGGGGGGCTTTGGGGGGCTCTGGGGGTCAGGGGGCTTTGGGGGCTCTGGGGGTCAGGGGCTCTGTCTGAGGCCCCCATGGGTCCCCCTCCCCAGACCTGGTGGCTCAGAGCATCGACGTGGTGCTGAGCCAGCGCAGCTGCATGGCCGTGGTGCTGAGGATCATCGAGGAGAACATCCCTGAGGTGGGCTTTGGGACCCCAAGAAACCCCCTAAAACCACTCCTGGGACCCCAAAACCCCCCAGACCCCCTGGAACCCCCAAGCCCCCTGGGACCCCCAAAGCCCGCTGAGCCAGGCGCAGCTGCATGGCCGTGGTGCTGAGGATCATCGAGAGAACATCCCTGAGGTGGGCTTTGGGACCCCAAAAACACCCCAAAAACCCTCCTGGGACCCCAAAAACACCCCAAACCCCCTGGAACCCCCCAAACCCCCTGGGACCCCAAATCCCCAACCCCGCTGAGCCAGCGCAGCTGCATGGCCGTGGTGCTGAGGATCATCGAGGAGAACATCCCTGAGGTGGGCTTTGGGACCCCAAAAACACCCCAAAACCCTCCTGGGACCCCCAAAACCCCCCAAACCCCCTGGAACCCCCAAACCCCCTGGGACCCCCAACCCCCAACCCCGCTGAGCCAGCGCAGCTGCATGGCCGTGGTGCTGAGGATCATCGAGGAGAACATCCCTGAGGTGGGCTTTGGGACCCCAAACACCCCAAAACCCTCCTGGGACCCCCAAAACCCCCCAAACCCCCTGGAACCCCAAACCCCCTGGGACCCCCAAACCCCGCTGAGCCAGCGCAGCTGCATGGCCGTGGTGCTGAGGATCATCGAGGAGAACATCCCTGAGGTGGGCTTTGGGACCCCCAAAACACCTCCTGGGACCCCAAAACCCCCCAAATCCCTGGACCCCCAAACTCTCTGGGACCCCTGAAATCCCCAAACCCCGCTGAGCCAGCGCAGCTGCATGGCCGTGGTGCTGAGGATCATCGAGGAGAACATCCCTGAGGTGGGCTTTGGGACCCCAAAAACACCCCAAAACCCTCCTGGGACCCCCAAAACCCCCCAAACTCCCTGGAACCCCTAAACCCCCTGGGACCCCAAATCCCCAAACCCCGCTGAGCCAGCGCAGCTGCATGGCCGTGGTGCTGAGGATCATCGAGGAGAACATCCCTGAGGTGGGCTTGGGACCCCCAAAACATCCCTGGGACCCCCAAACCCCAAAATCCCCCTGGGACCCCAAAAACACCCCAAAAACCTCCTGGGACCCCAAAAACCCCCAAACCCCTGGGACCCCCAAAGCCCCCTGAGGAACCCCCAAACACCCCTGGGACCCCCAAACACCCCTGGGACCCTGCTGGGACCCCTGAACCTCTGACAGACCCCCTGGAACCCTCCCATTTTACCCCCAACCGCAGTCCCTCACCCTGGGCAGTAACAGGGACCCCCCAGACCCCATTTTTGGCCCATTTTGCCCATTTTGCCCCATTTTCCCCCTAGCTCCAGTCCCTGACCCTGGGCAGTAACAGGGACCCCCATTTTGCCCATTTTGCCCATTTTGCCCATTTTTACCCCATTTTTCCCCTCAGTTGCAGTCCCTCACCCTGGGCAGTAACAGGGACCCCCATTTTTGCCCATTTTTGCCCATTTTTGCCCCATTTTTCCCCAGTTGCAGTCCCTGACCCTGGGCAGTAACAGGGACCCCAGCCCATTTTGCCCATTTTTGCCCATTTTGCCCCATTTTTCCCCAGCTCCAGTCCCTCACCCTGGGCAGTAACAGGACCCCATTTTTGCCCATTTTGCCCATTTTACCCATTTTCAGCTGCAGTCCCTGACCCTGGGCAGTAACAGGGACCCCCATTTTTGCCCATTTTTGCCCATTTTTGCCCATTTTTACCCCATTTTTCCCCTCAGCTGCAGTCCCTCACCCTGGGCAGTAACAGGGACCCCCAGACTCCCATTTTTGCCCATTTTGCTCATTTTACCCATTTTGCCCATTTTGCCCATTTTACCCCATTTTTCCCCAGCTCCAGTCCCTCACCCTGGGCAGTAACAGGGACCCCCATTTTTGCCCATTTTTGCCCATTTTTCCCCCATTTTTCCCCAGCTCCAGTCCCTCACCCTGGGCAGTAACAGGGACCCCCATTTTTGCCCATTTTTGCCCATTTTTGCCCATTTTTCCCCTCAGTTGCAGTCCCTCACCCTGGGCAGTAACAGGGACCCCCCAGACCCCCATTTTTGCCCATTTTCCCCCATTTTTGCCCCATTTTTCCCCAGCTGCAGTCTCTCACCCTGGGCAGTAACAGGGACCCCCAGACCCCATTTTGCCCATTTTGCCCATTTTGCCCCATTTTACCCCATTTCCCCCAGCTGCAGTCCCTGACCCTGGGCAGTAACAGGGACCCCCAGACTCCCATTTTGCCCATTTTGCACCCCATTTTTCCCCAGCTGCAGTCCCTCACCTGGGCAGTAACAGGGACCCCCATTTTGCCCATTTTTGCCCATTTTTGCCCATTTTTCCCCAGCTCCAGTCCCTCACCCTGGGCAGTAACAGGGACCCCCATTTTTGCCCATTTTTGCCCATTTTTGCCCATTTTGCCCATTTTGCCCCATTTTTCCCCAGTTGCAGTCTCTCACCCTGGGCAGTAACAGGGACCCCATTTTGCCCATTTTGCCCATTTTGCCCATTTTACCCCATTTTTCCCCCCAGTTGCAGTCTCTCACCCTGGGCAGTAACAAGCTGTACCGCCTGGACGATTTGGCCGACCTGGCCCTCAAAGCCCCCGGGCTCAAAGTGCTCGACCTGTCCCGAAGCGAGTGAAGACCCCCTGAGACCCCCAGAGCTTCCTGACCCCCAGACCCCCTGAGACCCCCAGAGCTCCCCTGTGCCCTCCGAAACCCCCACCTCCAGAGCCCCTCCAAAGCTTCCCTGTGCTCCCCTGACCCCAGACCCCCAAAGCTCCCCTGTGCCCCCGAGACCCCCACCCCTCAGACCCCTCAAAGCTTCCCTGTGCTCCCCTGACCCCTCCTGACCCCCAAAGCTCCCCTGTGCCCCCCTCGAGACCCCAGACCCCTCCATACCTCCCTGACCCCCCCGTTCTCCTGTGCCCCCTGAGTCCCCCTGACCCCCTGTGCCCCCTTGACCCCCTGTGCCCCCTGAACCCCCAACCCCTGACCCCCTGACTCCTCTGTGCCCCTTGACCTCCCTGTGCCCCTTGACCCCCTGTGCCCCCTGAACCCCTGTGCCCCCTGCTCCCCCTGACCTTCCCTGACCCCTCTGATACCCCTGTGCCCCTTGACCCCCTGAGCCCTATTTACTCTCTCCTGACTCCCCTGATCCCCCCGTGCCCTCCTGACCCCCTGAACCCCCCTGATCTCTCCTACCCCCGACCCCCCGTGCCCCTTGACCTCCCTGACCCTCTGATCCCCTGTGCCCCTGGACCCCCTGTACCCTGTGCCCCCTGACCCCCTGACCCCCTGCTCCCCCTGACCTTCCTGACCCCTCTGATCCCCTGTGCCCCTTGATGCCCCCTGTGCCCCCGTGCCCTCCTGACCCCCTGACCCTCCTGACCCCTCTGATTCCCCTGTGCTCCTCCTGACCCCCCCGACCACCCTGTGCCCCCTGAATCCCCTGACCCCCTGAATCCCCCCATCCCCTGTGCCTCCTTGACCCCCCTGTGCCCCCTGACCCCCTGACCCCCTGTGCCCCCTGATCCCCCTGACCCCCCTGAACCCCTGACCCCTCATGCCCCCCTGACCCTATTCCCCCATCCCCCAGCTGAAGTCGGAGCGGGAGCTGGACAAGGTGAAGGGGCTCAAACTGGAGGAGCTTTGGCTGGATGGGAACCCCCTGTGCGACTCCTTCCGGGACCAGGCCACCTACATCAGGTATGGGACAGTCCCCAAACCCCTGGGGGGGTCCCCAAACCCCCCAGAGTGTCCCCAAATCCCTGGGGGGGTCCCCAAATCCCTGGGGGGTCCCCAAACCCCCCCTGTATCCCCAAACCTCCCAGAGTGTCCCCAACCTGTCCCCAAACCCCCCCATGTGTGTGCCCCCAAACCCCCTGTGTGACTCCTTCCGGGACCAGGCCACCTACATCAGGTATGGGACACCCCCCAAACCCCTGGGGGGGTCCCCAAATCCCTGGGGGGGTCCCCAAATCCCTGGGGGGGTCATCAAACCCTCCCACTGTGTGTGCCCCAAACCCCTGTGTGACTCCTTCCGGGACCAGGCCACCTACATCAGGTATGGGACAGTCCCCAAACCCCTGGGGGGGTCACCAAATCCCTGGGGGGGTCACCAAACCCTCCCAGAGTGTCCCCAAACCCTCCCCGTGTGTGCCCCCAAACCCCCCCTCTGTGACTCCTTCGGGACCAGGCCACCTACATCAGGTATGGGACAGTCCTCAGAGTGTCCCCAACCCCCAGGGTGTCCCCAAATCCCTGGGGTCCCCAAACCCCAGAGTGTCCCAGAGTGTCCCCAACCCCCTGTGTCCCCAAACCCCCCATGTGTGTGTCCCCCCAAACCCCCTGTGTGACTCCTTCCGGGACCAGGCCACCTACATCAGGTATGGGACAGTCCTGAGAGTGTCCCCAACCCCCCCAGAGTGTCCCCAAATCCCTGGGGGGGTCCCCAAACCCCTGGAGGTCACCAAACCCCCCTGTGTCCCTAAACCCCCTTGTGTCAACCAAACCCCCCCGTGTGTGTCCCCCAAGCCCCCTGTGTGACTCCTTCCGGGACCAGGCCACCTACATCAGGTATGGCAGTGTCCCCAGGGTGTCCCCAAATCCCTGGGGGGGTCCCCAAACCTGGGGGTCACCAAACCCCTGGGGTTCCCCAAATCCTGGGAGTGTCCCCAGCCCCCTTTGTTGTCCCCCAGCCCCCTTTGTGTCCCCAGCCCCCAGGGTGTCCCTAGCCCCGCTTTGTGTCCCCAGCCCCCCAGAGTGTCCCCAATCCCCCAGGGTGTCCCCAACCCCCTCTTTGTGTCCCTAACCCCCTTTGTGTCCTCCAACCCCCCTTTGTGTCCTAACCCCCAGGGTGTCCCCAACCCCCTTTGTGTCCCCAACCCCCTTTGTGTCCCCAACCCCCAGGGTGTCCCCAACCCCAATCTGTGTCCCTAACCCCCTTTGTGTCCCCAACCCCCTTTGTGTCCCCAAACCCCCCGAGGGTGTCCCCAACCCCCTTTGTGTCCCCAACCCCCTTTGTGTCCCCAAACCCCCAGGGTGTCCCCAACCCCCAGAGTGTCCCCAGCCCCTTTGTGTCCATCAGCCCCCCTTTGTGTCCCCAAAGTGTCCTCAGCCCCCTTTGTCCCCAGCCCCCAAGGTGTCCCCAACCCCCTTTGTGTCCCCAACCCCCTTTGTGTCCCCAACCCCCCAGGTGTCCCCAACCCCCTCAGTGTCCCCAACCCCCAGAGTGTCCCCAGCCCCCTTTGTGTCCCCAACCCCCAGGGTGTCCCCAAATCCCTGGGGGTCCCCAAACCCCTTTGTGTCCCCAACCCCCAGTGTCCCCAAACCCCCTTTGTGTCCCCAGCCCCCTTTGTGTCCCCAACCCCCAGGGTGTCCCCAACTCCCCCTTTGTGTCCCCAACCCCCAGGGTGTCCCCAACCCCCTTTGTGTCCCCAACCCCCTTTGTGTCCTCAACCCCCCTTTGTGTCCCCACCCCCAGGGTGTCCCCAACCCCCAGGTGTCCCCCAGCCCCCAGGGTGTCCCCAAGCCCCCATTGTGTCCCCAACCCCCAGGGTGTCCCCAGCCCCAGGGTGTCCCCAAACCCCTGGGTGTCCCCAACCCCCTTATGTGTCCCCAACCCCCTTTGTGTCCCCAACCCCCTTGGTGTCCCCAACCCCCAGAGTGTCCCCAACCCCCAGGGTGTCCCCAACCCCCCTTGTGTCCCCAACCCCCAGAGTGTCCCCTAACCCCCAGGGTGTCCCCAGCCCCCTTGTGTGTCCCCAACCCCCAGAGTGTCCCCAACCCCCAGGGTGTCCCCAAACCCCTGGGTGTCCCCAACCCCCTTTGTGTCCCCAGCCCCCTTTGTGTCCCCAACCCCCAGGGTGTCCCCAACCCCAAAGTAGTCCTCAACCCCCCAGGGTGTGGGGAGGGGTGAGGGAGAACTCAGAAGGGGTTTTTGGGGGGAGGGGCAGGACGTGGTCCTGGGGGAGGTGCTCGACCCCACCCCACTCGTGGCCTCCCCCCCAGCTCCGTCAGGAGAGGTTCCCAAAACTGCTGCGGCTCGTGAGTGGGGGAGGGGCCGGGGGGCTTGAGGGGGATGGGGGGTCCTGAGGTTTGGGGGATGGGGGTGTCTTGAGGGGGTTTGGGGGGGCTGAGGGGTCTTGAGGGAGTTTGGGGGCTTTGAGGATCGTGAGGGGTTATGGGGGGCTGGGGGAGAGCTTTGAGGAGGATCCCAAGGGGTTTAGGGGGCTGGAGGGTCCTGAGGGGTTTGGGGGCTCTGAGTGGATCCTGAAGGGGTTTAGGGGGGCTGGGGGTCCTGAGGGGTTTGGGGGCAGCTGGGGGGCTTTGGGGAGGATCCTGAGGGGTTTGGGAGGTCTTGAGGGGTTTGGGGGCTCTGAGAGAGGATCCTGAGGGGGTTTGGGGGGGCTGAGGGGGTCCTGAGGGGTTTAGGGGGGCTGAGGGGGTCCTGAGGGGTTTGGGGGGAGCTGGGAGGGGTCTTGAGGGGTTTAGGGGGCTGGGGGGTTTTGGGGGATCCCAAAGGGTTAGGGGAGTGAGGGGGTCCTGAGGGTTTGGGGGCTCTGGGGGGCTTTGGGGGTCCTGAGGGTTTAGGGGGTGAGGGAGGTCTTGAGGGTTTTGGGGGGGGGGCTGAGGGAGGTCTTGAGGGTTTTGGGGGCTTTGGGAGAGGATCCCGGGGTTTGGGGGGCTTGGGGGTCCTAGGGGTGTTTGGGGGTCCTGAGGGTTTGGGGGGCTTTGGGAGGATCCTGAGGGGTTTGGGGGGGCTTTGGGGGTCCTGAGGGGGTTCTGAGGGGGGGGGGTGAGGGGGTCCTGAGGGGTTTGGGTGGGGGCTGGGGGTCTTGAGGGGTTTGGGGGGCTTTGGGGGATCGTGAGGGGTTTGGGGGGGGCTGGGGGGCTTTAGGGGGAGGATCCCAAGGGGTTTGGGGGGGCTGGGGGGTCCTGAGGGGGTTTAGGGGGCTGGGGGGGTCCTGAGGGGTTTGGGGGCTCTGAGTGGATCCTGAGGGGTTTAGGGGGCTGGGGGTCCTGAGGGGTTTGGGGGCAGCTGGGGGGGCTTTGGGGGGGGAGGATCCTGAGGGGGTTTGGGGGGGTCTTGAGGGGTTTGGGGGCTCTGAGAGGATCCTGAGGGGTTTGGGGGCTGAGGGGGTCCTGAGCGGTTTGGGGGGTCCTGAGGGGTTTGGGTGGGGGGCTTGGGGGACCCCGAGGGTTTTAGGGGGCTCTGGGGGGAGGTTGGAGCAAGGGGGACACAAAGGTTTGGGGGGAGTTGGGGGAGTCCCCAAGCGCGTTTTTGGGAGGTGGGGGATGATTTCACCCCAACCCCCAGGACGGGCACGAGCTCCCCCATCGCCTTCGGCGCCGAGGCCCCACGACGCTCCCGCCCTGCAAGGTGGGGACCCCTCCCCCCTTTTTGGGACCCTCCTCTTTTTTGGGACCCTCCCCATTTTGGGACCCTCTCCCTTCCTGCAGGACCCCCTCATCTCTTTTTGGGACCCCTCCCCCTTCCTGGGACCCTCCCCTTTTTGGGACCCCTCCCCACCTTTTAGGGACTCCTCCCCCTTTTGGGACCTCTCCCCTTTTTGGGACCCATCCCCATTTCTGGGACCCTCCCCTTTCCTGGGACCCCTCCTTTTTGAGGACCCCTCCCCTTCCTGGGACCCTTCCCCCTTCCTGGGACCCCTCCCTTTTTGGGACCCCTCCCCCCTTCCTGGGACCCCTCCCCGCCTTCCTGGGACCCCTCCCCCTTTCTGGGACCCCTCCCCCCTTCCTGGGACCCTCCCCATTTCTGGGACCCTCCCTTTTGGGACCCTCCCCTTCTGGGACCCCTCCCCATTTCTGGGACCCTCCCTTTGGGACCCCTCCTCTGGGACCCCTCCCTTTTCTCTGGGACCCTCCTCCCTTTTAAGACCCCTCCCTTTTTTTGGGACCCTTCCCCCATTTCTGGGACCCCTCCCTTTTTTGGGACCCTCTCCCCTTTCTGGGACCCCTCCCCCTTTCCTGGGACCCCTCCCCCCTTTTTAGGGACTCCTCCCCCTTTTGGGACCCCCCCCTTTTCTGGGACCCTTTCCCTCTTTTTGGGACCCCTCCTTCTTTCTGAGACCCCTCCCCATTTTAGGACCCCCTTTGCGATCCCTCCCCCTTTTTGGGACCCTTCCCCCAACTTTTGGGTCCCTTCCCCATTTTTGGGACCCCCGTGTGCTGGGGGTTTCCACGTTGAGGGGGTCCCATCCGTGTCCCCCTCCCCAAATTTCAGGGCAGTTATTTTGGCTCAGACGACCTGAAGGGGCTGGTGCTGAGATTCCTGCAGCAGTGAGTCCTTCTGGGGGAAAATGGGGAAAGGGGGGAAAAGGGGAAAAATAATGTGGAAAATGGGGAAAATGGGGAAAAAGGGGGAAATAACGTGGAAAAATGGGGGAAAAATGAGGGGAAAATGGGGAAAAAGGGGGAGGGAAGGGGCAAGAGGGGGAAATAATGTGGAAAAGGGGGGGAAAAAGGAGGAGAAAATAACGTGGGAGAATGGGGGAAAAAGGGAGGAAAATGGGAAAAAAGGGAGGGGAAAATAACATGGAAAATGGTGGGAAAAAGGGGAGGAAACAATGTGGAAAAATGGGGGGAAAAGGGGGGGAAATAATGTGGGAAAATGGGAGAAAACAATGGGGGAAAAAAGGGGAGAAAATAATGTGGAAAAGGGGGGGGGAAGGAGGGGAAAATAACGTGGGAAAATGGGGGAAAAAGGGAGGAAAATGGGGAAAAAGGGAGGGGAAAATAACATGGAAAATGGGGGGAAAAACGGGGAGGAAACAATGTGGAAAAATGGGGAGGAAAAGGGGAAAAAAAGGGGGGAAATAACGTGGAGAAACTGGGGGAAAAGGGGGAAAAATTAGGGGAAAAATGGAGGGAAAAAGGGAAAATAATGTGGAAAAATGGGGGGGAAAAGGGGGAAAACAACGTGGAAAAATGGGAGGGGGAGAGGGAGGAAAAAGAAGGGAAGAAAATGTGTGAAAATGGAGGGGAAAAGGGGGAAAATTGAGGGAAAAAGGGAAAAAACGTGGGAAAATGGGGGGGAAAGGTAAAAAACAAGGTGGAGAAATGAAGGGAAAAGGGGGAAAACAAGGTGGAAAAATGAAGGGAAAAGGGGGAAAACAAGGTGGAAAAATGAGGGAGAAAAGGGGGAATAAAGAGAACGAAGCAACGTGGACAGAGAGGGGAGGGAGGGGCAAAAAAAAACGAAAAAGAAAGAAAAACCAGGGAAAAACACAGAAAAGGGGGGAAAAAGGGGGAAAATGCCTTTTTTCCCTGTCCCCCCCAGGTATTACTCCGTGTACGACTCCAGTGACCGGCAGGGGCTGCTGGACGCGTACCACGACGGGGCCTCCTGTTCCCTCAGCATCCCCTTCGGGCCCCAAAACCCCCCCAGGTACCCTCAAAAACCCCCCAAAACCTACAGAGAGACCCCCAAACCCCCGGGCCTCCTGTTCCCTCAGCATCCCCTTCCGGGCCCCAGAACCCCCAGGTACCCCAAAACCCCCAAAACCTCCCAAACCCCCCTGGGCCTCCTGTTCCCTCAGCATCCTTCGGGCCCCAAAACCCCCAGGTACCCCAAAAACCCCACAGAGAGACCCCTGGGCCTCCTGTTCCCTCAGCATCCCTTCGGGCCCCAGAACCCCCAGGTACCCCAAACCCCCAAAACCCCCTTAAACCTTCACGGGACCCCCAAACCCCCTCAGCATCCCCTTCGGGCCCAGAACCCCCAGGTACCCCAAAACCCCCTAAACCCCCCCAAACCCCCCTGGGCCTCCTGTTCCCTCAGCATCCCCTTCGGGCCCCAAAACCCCCGAGGTACCCCAAACCCCCACCAAACCCCCTGGGCCTCCTGTTCCCTCAGCATCCCTTTGGGCCCCAGAACCCCCAGGTACCCAGAGACCCCCAAAACCCCTCAAAACCCCCCAAAAACCCCCCTGGGCCTCCTGGTTCCCTCAGCATCCCTTCGGGCCCAAAACCCCCAGGTACTCCAAAAACCCCCGAAAACACCCCAAAACCCCCAAAACCTCAGGGAGCCCCCCAGGCCTCCTGTTCCCTCAGCATCCTTTGGCCCCAAAACCCCCAGTACCCCAGAGACCCCCTGGACAGGACCCCCCAAAAGTTCCCCACCCTTTTCCTCCTTGTTTTTCATCTCCTTTTTCTCTCCTTTTTTTCCCCCTTTTTCCCCTCATTTTTCCCCCTTTTTCTCCTCCTTTTTCCCCTCTTTTTACTCCTCCTTTTTCCCCCTTTTCTCCTCCTTTTCCCCATTTTTCCCCACTTTTTTCTCCCCTTTCCTCCCACTTTTACCTCTCTTTTCTCACTTTTACCCCCTTTTCCCACTTTTTCCCCCGCTTTTCCCCCTTTCCCAGGAACAGCCTCAACTGAGTATTTCAAGGACAGCCGGAGCGATGAAGAAGCTGAAGGACTCCAGTGAGACCCCG